AGATCTTCTGAATATTGTCATGTGTTGTTGCTAGTGGAAGTTTGTGTCATTCAGTCATCCAGTTAGTCATTTCATTTCATTTAGCACCATTTCATTCAGCTCCTTAATGGCTGGGTCAGGGAAAAACACAGCCTGAGTCATGAAAACCATGGCCACTGACGAGGGAAATGTAGAATTGAGAACAGCACAGCTTGTCCTTCTGCCTGAGACTAAGGTCAGTGAGAATTGAGACAGTGGAACATTCGGCAACAAGTATGAAAGAACTTATGTTATTTTATTCTATGTTTTGTAAACTGAAGATATAACCACTGATTTTGATTGGAAAGTTACAGCAAATTCATTTTTTCCTAAGTTGAGAGATTGTAAAGTGCCTAGCTTGATTGCTTTTGGAACATTTAATATGTTTTTTTTTGGTAATAAATAAAACAACTGACTATTCTCTAGGATAATTAAAAACATTATGTTATGAGGAGGCAGTATAATGTGACGCTATAATAAATTCATATATTGTATTAAAGGCAGAAATGTAGATGCACAATTTATTACCAGAGGCAGCTATTTCAGAATTGAATGATCAAGATATTAGTTATTTATTTTGTATTTGACACTTTTAGGTGAGTTAATGGAATTTGTTCAAGGTCCACAGGCAGATAGAATCACATATCAGTGAAATAGGATTTTGAGCATTTATTTACTCATAGACAGTTTTGCCACAGCTCTTCCCAGTGTTTCATTAGAATTTTAATACCGTGGATGACGTTTCTCTTTTTATGGAATTTATATTGAAAATTGACATGTGTTCAATATTATCTCTTTCTTGTCCTCCTTAAGAACACAGATAAATTACTGCTTTTTTGTGGCACATTCTGTGACTTAACTATTTGTAGCATTGGATGTATTTCCAAGATGCCCTTTGAGTTCTTTTTAAAAAAATATGCCCATAGCACATTTTATCTCCTCTTTTCAAAACTGATCTCCCCAGCATCACCTGGGTGTAATGAGATGCTGTTTGTGATAATCTCAGAACCAGGTAAGTGAATTCCCAGTCTGGGCATGTATTTCAGGTCCCTTCTGCTAGCTGCTGCCTTTCTCCATAGCACGCTACTCTACCTGTCACCAGATACTGCTAAGAAATGATCTCGGGTGCATGTGATGCAGTGTGCCATCTATCATGGACCATGAGGATTTAAAATCCACCATACACCAAGCGAGGCATCACTATTGCTGTAATTACAAGTGGTTTTCTGTGTGTTTATATCCAAGTATGGCTTTTTCTTGGGCTATCAGTACAAATCCTTAAGAATTCTGGTGGTTCATTTTCCAACATATTCACTTTAATAATTTCCACCGAATGCTTCAGAGGCCTAAAATAGCCAGTTAATTCTGC